ATAGTGTCGATATACGTGCTTTGATCCAGATTTTCCCTGCTCGCTCGTCTTCCCTATATATATATATATATATATATATATATATATATATAGTGTATATAGCTACTGTTCTACTTCAGTCATCAGTGCTGTACAGTATATAGTTATCATACCTGATGCTTATAATATTCACTGCTGCACCGTACTGCAGCGTACATACAGGATCGTGCAGCGGCGGCAGTATTTTCAATGCTCATACGCTTATATTGCTACACCTACACTCTATGTATAGAGTACTGTACTGTACTGCAAAACGTATTGTCGTCGTCCCTCATAGAATAATAAATAAGTACTGCTGAGGATTCGTACCACAGCTGTTACTGCATGTGACTGATGTACAGTACTGTATATAATACTGTATGCAGTACTCTTCTGCATCCATGCTCATCTACTCGACCTGCTCGTAATTATACAGCGTCACACGCGCGTTCAATAAATGTAAAAGTGCGATCGAGTTACACATCACATCGCACAGCAGCTATATAGCAGTACAGTAGTTCACAAAAGCATGCATGAGGAATGTGGAATATTTATCCCGATAAGCCGTGTACCGAAGCGTGTATATGTATTGTATCATCATGCAGTCGTCATCGTCGTCGTCGTCGTCATCTCCGTCACATAGCGCTCGCATCATATATGTGCATACACATAGTAGCCGACGAAAAAAGAAGCTGCTGTGATAATTACGCATATACTGTATTATTGTCGAGACGCGATAAAATGAGATAAGGAGCAGCATCTATAATGCACGTAACTGCATGTATGAGGCATCATATCATCGACTTATTCATTCTCCGGTGCAGCTGCTGGTGGATGAAACATGAAACATTTTCATCTACTGCATGCATATTCGTCCCTCTGACTTATTCCATATAACAGCACATGCCATCGTGAATAATAACGCATCAGTGTACTTATGGATATAGCTAATTTATACCCATACGCGCGCGTATGTAGTAGTGCATGGCATTATATACAGTGTACTTATCGTACTGCAGTACTGCAGTATTATACATGCAGTATGTTCCTCATCATCGGTGCTGCTGTGGACAACGCGAATGTATAACACGTGTGTATAGTATATACTGTCCTGTGTACTGTGTATAAATCATATAAAGTCAAGTCCATGCAGCAGCAGTCGACTCATTCAACGTCGACTTCACCTTTCATCCGAGTATACTTGCTGTAGTATAAGTTATTGCATCACGGTACAGTATAAGAAATGACCGCGCTGTATCCGTGTTGTGTTATTATTTTACATGTACACGACAGGATCATATTGCCAGGAGGATAAGAGCATTACTATAAGCGCGATTGAGAAATTGAGAGAAAGGAAAATGGAAAAGTGGCGGGGACGACGAGTGGTGATGCTGCTACTGCCGCCGCTGGAGATGAAGAGGATGCCGACTTTGCCATCATTGTCGGTGATGGTAGTCGTCGTCGTCGCCTTGATGGGACAGCAGATGACCCCTACTGACGCCTTCGTGCCGCCCGACCCGCACGCCTACGCCAGGCTGCGAGACCAGCTCCGAGTCACGACGAGGAACCAGCACCTGCTGAATCCCCAGCAGCAGGGATTGGGCCTCATCCCTTTCTTCCCGACGCCGTTGCGCATGTTGCATCCCGCAGGTTTATTTATTTCTTTATTTCTTTATTTATTCATTCATTTATACCCTACTGATACTCTGCACCAGCAGTCACGCGTGTTCATCCCTACCTTTTTGGGTCCGCGGACCGGTGAATTAGTGATGGGAATAAATATTTGCGCGGACCGGCAGGGCAGAGGCAGACAAGTCCACAAAAATCTAACTGACCTATCTGAGAGTTTATTTTTCATTTTTCATTTTTTCACTGATAACCTTCAAGTCTAAAATTCCCTTTATATTCACACGTTCTATATATGACTATTAACAGGGTTCTTGTTGATTTTTCATTGCATGAAACAGAGCTCCACGCTGTTTGAATGAAAAAACCCCACCTAATTCCCTTTATTAGAAAAATCGGAATAAATATGTTTGAATTGATGTTGCAGTATAGTTTCATTCACCATTCTGAGTATTATTAATACAGAAAGAAGCATGGACAAGTTCTCAAATTATCAACGGTCAAGAATTCTTCCTGAAAACTGTTTGCAAATTTTGAGAGCTGCTGCAAAAGAAAAGTCGTCTGTCCCTTTTGTAAAACCATTGCACCAATGCACAGGAATTATGCTTCAAGAATCAAATTGATTTTTTTTTATGAATGGTGCTTATACTTTCCCATTTGGTAAAGGTGCAGATCGAGTGAACACTTTACCTTGAAACTCCCCACAAAAAAATTGGCTTGTGTCTGAGGTAAGCATGCAGGTCTTGGAAAGGAAAATGAGGAAAGACCAGGAAAAAGATAGTTCATCATGAGAAGGCAATTGAAAAAATGAACACTCCGGGCAGAGGGAATGCTGAAATGGGAAGAATATTTATTCAAAATTTTAATTCTGCAAAGGTATTTTTGCATTTGCTCCATCTTCTTAGATTTTGTACGTATATATGACGACTTTTGTGATTTCCAGTATATGCATACCTTAACCATGTGTAGCAAAATTTCCCGCAGACCGGCTGTGCTGGTCTATGTGGACCATGGTTTGGGGAACACTGCTCTCTATACAGTACAAAGCATGGGCCAGTATGGTATAATGACTGTTGCAACTGCTGATGCATGTTGGTGGTGATCAGAAAGGATATAAATCCCTATACTGAGACCCAGCAACCAGCACCCATTGCACATATACATTCAAGATATGCACTAAATATTTATATTATGTGCTTTGCTGAGCGTAATGGATTGTCTCTGATTCTAAAGGGCTGGCAAATTGAGAGGTGACCATGAAAAGTAAGCACTTGATGAAAGCTTGTTCAATTCTCTTTCGATTGATGTGTAGTTTTTTATGGTCCCAAGCAGGGTTTTCAATTGTGCCCACAATTCAGCACAATCACAACCACGATCACAATCACAACTAATGCCAGATAACTTCAGAAGTGTATGCATTTTTTGTGTGGAAATTGATTGAAACCATGATCAAAATTCAATGGAAAATGAGAAACTCTTTTCATTAACTGTCTAAGTTGCTAGCTGGAAGAGGATATATTGATTTTTATGGCTTCAACTTGAGAAAGGTTGGCACAGTAAGAAGCTTATAGTATTTTTTATTGGTACAGTATTTTCACTTGGATGAAAGAGTTTAGGCATTCAATGATTGAAGAATACTTCAGGAAAGCTATTTATAGTTTTATTCATAATTTTTGGTACTGTACTCCTTCATCATGGCAGTTGTTTTCTGTTTCTGTATTGTGAGAATCCAAATGCAATAAGAAAAAACGACATCCATATGCTGCAAAAGTATTGTTTGGATTATATCTTGTTTGCTATTCTCTTCATCCATTCACAATATTGATATTTTGGAAATCATTTGAGATTAATCAGGGATGATTACACTAAAGGTGAAAAGCACAGCAGGATGAAAATCTTGAAAAGAGTTGTGATAACCCTTTTTGCAATTGTGATTGGGCAAAAGCAAAAAGAAATGCGTCGTGATTGCGATATATTGTGGATTTAAAAAAAATCAGTGCCTTTGTGATTGCAATTGTGAGAGGGGAATATGTTTTGTGCTAGATTGTGATTTTGATTGTGAAAGTATATTTCTGAGTGCGATTAACGCCCCTGCTGGTCCCAAAGGGCCATGGCAAGGTCTCGTCAAGAACCATTTGAATGAAAACCCGTCCCCACCGCCTTGAAAAAAAAAGAAAAAAAAAAAGAAATCAGGCAACTCATCCCTCCTCTAATCTGCTGTTTGCCACCAGCAGCAGAGCTGTGCTTGGGGATATACATTGGGTGGGGTGCATGACCAATAATTTACCCAGCATATATACTGTACTCTATGCTGCCTTACAGCAGACGGTGCACGCAATCTCAAAATGTAGGAGCTCACCCTGTGTATAGCATGGCATTATTGTGTACAGAGACAGGAAGAGAGAGAGAGAGACTGTAGAATAAGGTATATACTGTATATGTGTACTGTATATATGCAGCTGCTGGACTGCACGTCGGTGGCATCCTGACGCGACTGCATGCCCACTTGCTGCAGCAGCTGAGGGCCGGGCGGGTGGCTTCGTCGAAGATACGACTACGACAGCAGCAGGAGCAGGATGATGATGACCATCAGCAGGGCCCGAGCCACAATGAAAACAGCATCAGCAGCTGGGACTCGTCTTTTTTGTCGGATGATGGTGCTGGCACTGCTGGCCGAGATGATGATGATGATGATGATGAGCTGTGGATGATGATGAGGAATGCGACGGATAACGGGTCCTCCACCGAGTCGCCGCCGACTGATGTAGTCAATGACATCCCCGTCACACCCTGCACGGCCCACTTGCTCGCCTACGTCAACGGGATCCAGCTCCTCTTGTCGGGTGTCGGAGACCTGACCAGTACCAACGACATCTGGGCCTTGGAGAGTGAGTACAGTATATACATATTTACACACTGTATACAGTATTGTACGTTGCATGATGTACAGTATATATATACACACAGCAGCAGAGTATATATATATACATTACAGTACTGTACAGTACTCGACGAAAGACCTGCTGTTCCTTGATCATCATACCGTGTATATACAGCATGTGAAAAACTGCTGATGTATGTCGTCCTATAGCTTTTCCTATACAGTACATATACTGCTGCACAGCAGTACAGCTGCGTGCATTAACACAACAAGTGTGGACCAAGCTTATTATATTTTAAAAGCGCAATTAAGAAAGCAGCATATCCAGTTCCAAACAACATGATACTGGCTTGAACATTATTATGTACCTTGTATATCTCTCCATATACTGTATATGCAATTGCATCAGGAGACAGTATATAGTTGAATAAATGCAGCAGCAATTGTGCATTTATGTACCAGGTTGCCAGCATGAGGTATACTATAATGTACCACTGAATATACAAATGTCCCGGACAACAAAAATGAAAAAATGAAAGAAAATAGCAAAACCTATATATATATATATATATATATATATATAATGATTACAAAGAATAAACTACCACTATATAGCTATAATAGCAAACGTACGTACACTGTATATGTATATATGCATAATTTTTTCGCATATATGTAGTATATACACTGCTGTATGATAATAATGGATGATGATGCATGCATGCATGCAGTGCTGGATGCCACTGGCAAAATACCCGACGGCATGCTCGTGGGCAACCTGGTGTCCCTGGGCAGCTTCGACGAGTGCCTGGCCGTGAGGGCCGACATCACCGGCGACCCACTGCTCATCATCGGCGAGGGCGTCTCGCTCGACATGCTGCCGGTGCCCAGGCAGTTCCGGGGCAAGTACTGCAAGGCCCAATTGGACCTCAAGGGGTGCGTATAATACATTGTATATATATATATACATGCGTGCATGATGATGTGTGCAATTGATGGCACAGCAGTATGTCTTTCATTCCCTTTTCCGTTGTCATCCTCCTCTTGTTGTTATTATTATTATTATTATTATTATTATCATTCCGTGCATCCTTTTACAGTATATACAGTATATATATGTATAAATATATTATATTGTTACATTTGACGGCGTCTATTGTGCATGAACACATGCTGCACGATGTTATTGAAATGTTTAGGATGGTCGAAAGTGGCACACTGCCCCCTTTCGTGTCGAACGCCATCGGAACGGACAACGTGGAGCTGCTGGTGGCGGGCGGGATCAACCCGAGCATGGGCATTTGCCTGCCCAACACCTGCACCCATCAGGACCTCCTGGTAAAGGTCATATATATACATATATACTGTATATATACTGCCTCGATCATATTGTTCTGCTGCTGCATGTTCGTCTAATTCAAGCATCATGTTTTTCGTTCATGTGCATCATCATCATCATCATCATCATGCATGCATGCTGAGCATAATAAATACGCGGTGTACATCAGTATATAGTACACGCCGCAGCGTAATACTACATATGCAGAGCACCGCGCCCGCGAGTATATATGTATATATATATATATATGTAACGAGCGTGCGCACAGCATTATTATTGATACAACAGTATAAAGTAACATGCGAGTTCAACAGCATTACTGCAGAATGCTGCTGCATCATGATGTGATGGATGATGAAATGAATACAATTGATGCAATACTGTACTGTACTGTATTGCTGCACATGATGATGATGATGATGATGATGATGATGATGATGACATGTCAATTGATAAGGATGCCTTGGATGCCACGGCCGGCGGGGCTGGGTTCCAGTTCGTCGTCCAGGAGCGAGACTGCGCAGAGGACTCGGCGACCGTCTTTTCCGCCGCCGACTACTGCATCATGTGAGCATCGATACGATACGTTATTATTTTCACTAATGCTAGCCATACTGCCGTATAGTCGTGTAATACTGCTGTAGTGTACGGTATTGCATATTATACATATGCACGCACAGCATTTCATTTGGCACGCACCCCGCTCTTGCAATAGATATTATACAGTATACCAGTGTACAATTCCCTGTTAATTGATGCTGATGGTGCAGTAGAGCGTGCTGCGCGTATCATCCATGGACCACCTATAATTATTTAAAATCATTCAAGCATCAGCTAGTACCACAGTACTGAGTACTGTATGTACGTCCCGCATCGCGATTATCTAATGATAACAATATAATGAGCGGATGTTCCGTTGTTTTGTTTTTTTTTTTCCTCTCCTTTCGACGGCGAAATCATTACATGAGTTCCATCACCAAAAAGTTGACGAAGCAGCAATACTGCTGTACAGTATATAAGGGATGAACAAATAGTAGACAGACAGCATAAATACACTGCACTGAAAATGAAAGAATCATTATTGATGCGCGTGGTGCTGGGGGTTATATAAATATACCGTATACATTGCAGCTCACACTTATTGTCCTTTTCGACTTTGTGGAATTATATTTTATCATACATGCAGCTGCTATAATGTGCGTTGACCGTGTTAGTATCCTTACTATTTTTCCTCAGCACCATCTACAGCACTGACTGATATATGAGGATGAGAAAATAAAAAAATAAAAAAGGCATCGAGATGAGAGGAACAGGTGCCGTACCCGTATACCTATATACGATTTACATCATTCTCGAATTTGTATTTTAAATCAACGCCGGCCACCACTACTATAGCTTAATTGACAAGAGTGTATAGTACTGCTGTAACAGTAATCTTCCAGCTTAATTTTCATCTCTTCGCCGCCCGTGCTGCGCATCAATAAATTTCAATAAAGATACAACTATAACTACAGTATAGTGCAGCATGATATGATGATGGTTTGAAAACATGATGCTGCTTCTTCATACCATGAATATCGTATACAGTACTGTACTGTACTGTATTACAGCTAGTACCAGTATATATATATGATCAGAGTTCGGAAATCGATTACTGTACTGATGGGGAAACCATATAAGAAACTGCTCGCTCGACATGCATAAACGGACCTCATCATCCCTTATTTATATATTGAAGGAATACAGCAGTATAAAGTATTATATACATGTTCATGCTTGGCGGGTTGTATATACAGCAATTGTTAGTCGTATACTGTACTGCACAATGAAAAAAAAAATAAAAATAAATAAATGAAAATAGGGCCCTCGTCGCTGCTGTGGTCATGCTCATGGTGGCCGGTACGATCGTGGACGTCCGCCTGCTGGCTACCCAGGCCCAGCTGAAAAAGTTTGACGACCATCCCCAGCGACTAATGGACGGAGAAAAGTCCATCACATCCGGCTTCCAACTCCTCAAAAATGGCAAGTGCTGGTGTTGATTCCAATCATCATGATGCCTCTCATCATCATCATCGTATCTTATTTACTCCAGTATACTGTATATAGCGATTATTATTCGGACCACGTCATATTATTATTTATACATGCATCATATGCTCTGATACATATATACTATCGCTGCGCAGACTCGGCCATCCAGTTCCTCACCTCCTTCTCCGTCTACACCAACGGCAAGAAGATCCTGAGCACAGCGGACCATCCGGACGACATTGGCTGCCTCCACGGACTTCGGTGATTAATATACTGCATACTCAATACTGCATGCACACCGTATACTGATGTATAGCATGCAAAGTCCTTTTTTTTAAATCAATAATAAATACGCTCTTTATTACTCTCCCGGAAAACTAATGATATGTATATATATATATATATACACACACTGTATACTCCAGTATAAAGGTGCATCACTATGCTGATGGTCAAGTGATGCACAGCAGGGTATATGAATGATGATACGTATACTGTATCATATATACCGCATATTCTTATTCAGGTTCATCTCCATGACCTGGGTCATCCTGGCCCACACATACGGCTTTGGAGGCATCAACCCGTGGGTCAATCTCGCGCAGGGATTGCCAGCAGTACGTGCGTCTTTGCTGATCCTCTCATTAATATTGCTGCAGCAATAATGAACATGATGATTTTGGCGGTGCTGCACGCGCTGCTCATGAAAAATTCCCCATACTGATAATGATGATGATTACGGTATTATGATTTGGTAAAACTCTGAAAAATCGAGGGATGAGATACAGCTGTATATATAGGACAGTATACCATCACTACGATCAAAGCAGCATCAGGCACGAACGAGAAACTTTGTCACGATGTCAGCAGTAGCATGCAGTGCTTGGCATTGCGTTTCTAAGAATGGCTCAACACTATACTGTATATACTGTAGCATTAGAATAGCCTACTGTCACCAAAGCATGCTCTGCATATCAGTGTTCCTCAACCTTTTTGCTGGGCACTCGGAATGGCAAATTTTCATACAAATTTTTTGCAGACCAGCAAAGTTTCATGAAATTTTTGCAGACTCATACAAGTTTTGCTTGGAAGATTTCATTGCAGGAATTTTAAAATTTCTGCTTCTTTGCAGCAGAAACTTGAGTTAAGCACCAATAATGAAGCAGATGTAGCAGAATGTCATAAAAAATTAGAAAGTTGGGCTTGAAGAGAGGTTAGGTTTCTCAGGTTGAAAAAGTGCAAAAAATTCATTTCGTCGAGGGGAAAATTAGTCTGTATGGAGTGTTATTAAGAGAAAAGCCTACTTTTATCCTCTTTTTTGTCAGATAATTTCAGCCATCATTTATATATCCTTCCTAAATTTTCGGTTAAAAAAGAAAAAGGCAGACTCGATCCGTACTTTTGATCAATGTATGGTGCTGAAAATTGTCCACGGACAGTCAAAAAAAGAAAGAAAAAAAACTTCTGCGGACTGGCGCCGGTCGGCGGACCACGGGTTGGGGAACACAGCTCTATATATATATATGTGCATGCAGCAGCACATACATACAGAATACTGTACAGCAACTCGTCATCATCTTCTTCGTAGCCTTGATTCGTTGTTATTTTTTGCAGTATTGTTGTAATAATTCAATTAAATGATGATAATTAATCAATTCATATCCAGTATATTTGCATACAATTCAGCTATAGATGAGGGGCCCAGCCACACCTGCTAATTATTGGGCATCATCATATTTTTTTTTTCCTCGGAAAAAAGTTGGAACTTCTTTTACATATACACAGCAAGACTTGTATATTGTACATACACTGTATGTATGTACATCAATACTGTTTATACTGCTGTATACACTGTGTGTATATATATATATATATATATATATAGTTCCTGCGACAATGGGAATTCACTGCCGTGGCCAACGCGAGCACGTCCGTTGACACGTTCTTCCTGCTCAGCGGCCTCCTCGTGGCCTACAACGTGTTGAAAGAGGTGCAGCGGGCCAAGGGTCGGCTGAGGCCCGATCCAGTGACCTGGCTCGGGGTCCTGTACGTGCTGCGCTACGTGCGTCTCACGCCGGCCTTCGCCGCGGGCATCGGCCTGGTGGCCACCCTCGTGCGGCGCGTGGGAGAGGGCCCGCTCTGGGGCCAGCTGCTGGAGAACTCGGACTTGTGCCGCCACGACTGGTGGAAGTACCTGCTCTACGCCCACAACTACGTCCGACCCGACGTGTACTACGATAACCAGATCACGTGTTTCCCGCAGGTATATATACTGTACATCAGTATACAGTATATGACGAGTATATGTAAACATTACTCGTGTAATGCAGCATACATTTACTATGTACAGCAGCAGCAGTATACAAAATGTAATTCACTCGAAATTATTACAATGTATACTGTATATAGAGAATAATGATAAAACTATACTCTATATACATGCATATATACTGCATATAGGCCTGGTACTTGGCGTGCGACATGCAGTTGTTCCTCTTGGCGCCGCTGTTCATCCTGCCCATGTTCTACTTGGGCACGACAGGACGGCGTCGTTGGGCCGCCTACGCCTGGATCAGCCTGCTCACCGTCATTTCCGTCGTGCCGGGCCTCGTCATCATGATACGGAACTCGGGCTACCCGCCCACGCTGATCCCCAACAACCAGCAGACGGCCTTCTTTTACGACATCTATGCCAACACGTACGTGCGAGCAGGCCCCTACCTCGTCGGCATTGCCCTGGGCTACTACATCTTCATGAACAAGAAGCAGCAGAATATTAATGATAGGTCCCCGTCGTCGACATCGGCGTCAGCAGCAGCACCGCGGTTGAGCAGACTCGTCGTGGCCCTCGCCTGGCTTGCAGCTACTGGGGCTGCTCTGGCCGTCGTGTACGGGCTGCAGGCCTACGAGCCCTACGAGTCGGACAAGCCGTCGCACGTGGAGAACATCTTCTACTCGGCCTTTGCCCGCATGGCCTGGGCCCTGGCAGTGGCCTGGCTCATCTTTGCCTGCCACTACGGCTACGGTGGTGAGTCCCGCGTCATCCTCATCGGGTCGTCGTGATGATGATCGATGCTGCTGCTATACTGTATATACACAGCATCGTCATATGCTGATATACTCACTATATATATATATATATTTGTGCATATAAGTACAGTATATGCATCTCCTGCATATTCATACCGCACGACATAGCAGTATAATTAGCGAATGATGGCAGTACTGTATACAGCAGTATATATTCTGCACAGCACTATTGATTCAGTGCAGTTGTGCCTAGCTGATGCACACGCATGACATCAGATTGGAAAATACTGATGTACAGTATATATATATATATATATATATATATATATATATACAGTATATATATATTTTGTTGTTGCTGCAATTAATAAGTACTGTACAGCCTTCCTGTTTATTAATCTAATCATCTTTCAACTAATAAACCTCAAAGGATGTGAAATGCGTTGTTACTAAACCTTAACCAATTCTCTCCACTGTGAATTCTGCCCAGTATTTAGACCCCATAGTAGGAATCCCCAGCCTTCAGAACCCAGTGAAACCTCGCGGGAGCAAGAGCTCCAGCAGGAAAAAAGACCCTTTGGAAGGGGACTATGGAGGTCATGAACCTGCAGTACAAATGGGTACCAGGGACGTCTTTAGTCACTCTTCTGAATGAAAATTGTGAAAAAAGACTTTGACAATATAAACAGTAATTTGAATAAATTTTTCAGGAAAAGTGAAAAAAATCGCAGTATAATATATCAAAACACATTCACAGAACTGCACTTTATTAGTGAGGAGGAGTCATCAATGGATGAACTTCCTATCCAGCAGGAGCAAGGCAAGTGGGAAAAACTGGCATGCAGAAAAATTAATACTAATAATATCATTCATCTATGGGGTACAGATGCTGTAGATGAATTAGTCCAGTATGAACCTTCAAATGGGCTACTGGATGACCCACTGCTCCACAATTCAACACCCCAAGGAATGGGATTTAGAGAAATTGACCTGAAAGATGGGGATGATACCCTTGCAAGGTTTTTGCCTGCACCGAGGGAACAACAGCCAATCTGTGTATTGGGCAAAGTAGCAAAGCATAGTAGTGGAAAAATTCTACAAGAATGCAATGCTGCAGTGCACAAAGAAAGATGTGTTGTGTGATTTTGCTAAGGTGTTACCCTCTGTGGGGAATACTGTTGTTGGAAAAGTGCCAAGGATTAATCATCCATTGTGGAACATTCTAAACAAAAATGCCAGAGCATGTGATGCAATGCTCCAAAAAGTGCAAAGTCTCCTCATGTGTGTGAACAGTGGACTTGTGAAGGCATTCATTGATGAAAGTGTCTCAGAAACTCTGAGGGATACTTTGGGGCATACAGTAAAAGCCCTTGCTGTGGCATACATGACTCTGCAGGAAGGGAGAAAGAAAAATGTGCAAAATAATGCTAATGAAAATATTAGGAGTGCATATTTCAGAATAATCAAATTCAGACACAAGCCTTTGGAGACAATTGGGTGAATATGTCAGATGGAGAATTAGTCGAGGAAATTGAACAACTTATAAAAGCTGATCAGGCTTTAAAGAGAACTACTTCTAAATTGAATAACTGGAGGGGCAAAAGTCCTAGTGTGCGTGGAGGACACAGTGGTTATCGCCAGAGGCCCTATGCAAACAAAAGCGGGAACACAAATCGTTTCCATTGTTTCTTAGGGGAGAGCACCCCCAACAAATTCCGCCGCCAGCAGAACAAGGAATCTCCTCAGAACTCCTTCAGAGGACGCAGCAATTGGAGAGAAAGGAGAATTTAGAGGTTGGTCTTGGTCAGATCCCATCAAATTTAATTGGGGGTAGACTCAGATATCATTTGGATTTTTGGAGAAGTGAAATAACCCAGGATCCTTGGATCCTTCACATGGTAATGGGAGTAAAAATTGACTTTAGTAAAATCCCACAACCAACCCATTCAAGGGAAAATCCTCCTGTTAAGACAAGAGAAGAGGAGGAGGCCATTGACCAGTTGGTGACACAATTGAGAGAGACTAGTGTCATCATCCCACAGATATGGACCCAAAAATTGGTGATAAATCCTATTTTTCCTGTGAAAAATCAGGATGGCTCATATAGGCTCATTTTAAATAGTAAGGCTGTAAATAAGGACTGTCTTCTTTATAAACACTTTAAAATGGAAACAATCATGTTCTACAAGGGATTAATAAAGGTGATTGGATGACCTCTATTGACCTGAAAAAGGGATACCACAATGTTGCTTTACACCCAGAACATCAAGACTATTTTAAATTTAAATGGAAAGGACAGATTTATAAATTTATAGCACTCCCAATGGGGTTGAGGGAAGCTCCTCATATTTTTTCTATACTTATGAAAAGCCTACTGAGAGTATTGAGACAGAAAGGCATAAGGGTGTTTTCTTATATTGATGATACCCCTAGGGAAAACCAAAATTGAATGTGAAATTGCAACAAGGGAAACATACAGGTTGCTACAAAAAGCTGGTTTTATTATCCATCCGGAGAAATCCAGGCTTGAACCAGATAATAGAAGGAAACACTTGGGTTTCATTATTGATAGCATGAAAGAAGTAATTGAATTGCCTGAGAAAAAATTTTGGAGGCTACAGCAAGATATTAAGAAGTTGAAAACATTAACATGAACATGTGGGAAAGAAGGTGATTTAACAATTTGAAAATTTTCCCAAATAACAGGGTACATTTTGAGTTGTATGCCTGCAATTGCCTATACAGCCATTCCCACTTTTGGGATATTGAGAGAATAAAATTGAATTTACCTCAACCAATAAGGGATTGGGAGCAACATATCCAGATTCCTTCCAGTCTGATTACAGAATTAGAATGGTGGGAAAACCTTTCCCATCCATGCACTAAAAGTTTCAAACAACAGCAGATTTCCCACCAGATCACAACAGATGCATCCAGAACTGGTGGTTGGGGGGCAATTTTGGGAAATTACCAAATTTCTGGTACCTGTGGAAAGAGGAAGATGAGGCAACCATTGATTTATTGGAGCTCAGAACATTGCGTCTGGCATTAGAACATTTTGAAGCATTTGGAGTCAATTTTAGAAATGCAAATGTTTTATTCAAGGTTGATAATACTGTAGCAGTGGCTTATGTAAATAAAGGAGGGGGAATGAGTAAATGCCTAGATAAAGAGGCCAGACATTTGTGGGAATTTCTTGAAAGCAGAAATGCATGGACACAGGCAATGTACATACCATCAAGAGATAACCCAGCAGATGAATTAACTAGATAATGATTACCAGAAAGGATGCAAGGAGAATGGATGCAGAATGGAGTTTACGGAGTTATTTGAATTTGCATGTAAGGAGTTTGAGTTTATGCCAACAATGGACTGGCTTGCTACAAAAATTAATAAAAGACTCAGAAATTTCTGCTCTTGGAAATTTGATCCAGAAGCATGTTTGATTGATGCTTGGTTACATGATTGGAAGACTGAAAAGGGTTATTTTTTTCCTCCTTTTGGTCTATTGACTAGGGTGATTCAGAAGATCAAGGAGGATGGGGCATCAGGAATTTTAATCCACCCCAGATAGATGGCCAGGTCAACCTTGGTGGCCAATCCTCATTCACTTCAGATGCAAGCAAGTAGAACTCCCATCAGTGACCAGTGCACTAGTGCTCCCAGAAATCCCAACAGCATGTCATCATTTGAGGAAAACACATCTAGAGGCATCTCTGTTTCTAGCCTAAATCTGGATGAAGTAGTAAAAGCAACAATCTTGGCTGCAAAGGCACTTGGAAACAATACAAGAGTATCATGGAGAGGTTTGAAGAATTTATGGAAAATGAAAGGGTAGCTAAAGAGGAGGTATCAGTACATGCTGTGGTGCTAAAATTTTCGGCACAGTTCACAGCAATACCTCAAAAATATTCATATGGATACCTGAGGCAAATGAGAGCTGCCATTATAGTCAATGGCTCAGAGATCATCAAAAGGAAGAATTACTACAAGATGAGTCATTATTGCATCAATTCATGAAGGGGGCAAAACGTTGCACCAGGGATTTTGAAAAAGAAGAAACAGTTTGGGATGCAGAGACAGTCCTGGATTACATAAAACAGAAACCAATGACAAATAACATAGCTCTACAAGCCCAGGAAACTTTGACAGTGTTGGCATTGGCTTCAGGATTATGAGTGGATGATTTAACAAAATTAGGAGCAGAGACATGGATGGAAGGGAAAGATCTGTTTATTCCTTTTCTTGAGCCACAAAAAACATCAGTAGCAAATAAGGCCACCAGAAGAGGAATTTGCATAGCACCTTTTCCAGAAAATGAACGCATATGTCCAGTCAAGTTGATTTTGAAGTATGTGGCATCCAAACAATTTGATCAAAGATCACCCTATTTGTTTGTCTGATCAGATGATGGAAGAAGGCGGTGGCAACAGCTACAATTTGAAAGTGGTTAATAAATTTGTTACAAAAAGCAGGAATTTATGTGGCATCCAAACAATTTGATCAAAGATCACCCTATTTGTTTGTCTGATCAGATGATGGAAGAAGGCGGTGGCAACAGCTACAATTTGAAAGTGGTTAATAAATTTGTTACAAAAAGCAGGAATCAAAGCTTCACCAGGATATACAAGAGCAGCAGCTACAAGTTTTGCATGGACAAAGAATCAGACATTTAATACAATTGCAAAACTCACAGGATGGAGGAAAGAGTCCACATTTCAGAAGCATTATAATAGAACAATTGTGCAAGGGGGAGAGAATTTCATGTCTGCTGCAAAAGAGGTTTTTAAAAAACCAGAAACTCCTAAAATAGAGAGCCCCTCGGGGGCCAGGAATAGACCATCAGGGTTTCCCGGGGAGAACAAGGAAGTGAACCCCTGCAGCTTGAGGGAGAGCGGAACAGCTGCTAACAACAGGCAGAAGATATGCCACAGGTGCGGCAGTCAGGGGAATGACGGATAAAGAAAGGAGGGAGGAACACACTGAAAGGAAAATCAGGAGGAAATGTGTTTGTGAAAAATGAGGAAGTGCACAGCTGCACAGGATGTATAAACATGTTGCCAGCGTAAGAAGTTGGAACAAATGTACAGGAAGTGGTTAGTACGGACATCCTGCCTTGTTTTTGGGCAGGGAGAAAAGGGAGAAGATTTTTTGTTCCATGCTTTCTCTGTCTTTTGTGTTTATAGACTGTGTGTGGAGTCAAAAAGTGTGTGTGTGGTGTACTGTATATTGCTCATGTACAGAAAACGAAACAAGGTAAAAACTGTATATATGCAGTATCTCTTGGCATTTATTTTTTGGAAGGGAACAGATTCCTGGAACCGGATTCTAAACAATTCACAGTGGAGAGAATTGGTTAGGGTTTAGTAACAACCCCCCAGGCCAGGGAACCATTAGCCTGGGGATGTTACTAAGTACCTAACCAAATTCTCTTCACTACTGTCCCAAGTAAAAGAGCTCCCAGCCCACCCAAGGAATACAGGATGGATCCAGGAATATCTGGTTTACATGCTAAAATTCTGAAGGGTGGGGGTTCCTACTATGGGGTCTAAATACTGGGCAGTATTCACAGTGAAGAGAATTTGGTTAGGTACTTAGTAACATCCCCAGGCTAACGGTTCCCTGGCCTGGGGGGTTGATCTTGATTGACTCATCTTCTCCCAGTATTCCTTTTCCTTGTCACAATCAAATAGAACACATAAATGCACCTACAGTATATTTACTGTGTAAAGTGATCGCCACCTGCATTACGATTTCCTTCGCTTTCGAAAAAAAAAAAGGACCCGTGAACTCGTTGCTGAAATGGAACCCCTTCAAGCCGCTGGGCAGGCTCACTTATTGTAGTTTCCTCCTGTCCATCTACGTCCAGTACGTGTTCCAGTTCAGCCGCAAGGACGTGCAGTACAACGACCACCCACAGATGGCAAGTCATTCTCTTCTCTCTCTCACGTTTTTAGCATGAAACAATTAGGAATCGTCTTACGTAACGAGCAAAAATTAAAAGAAAACATTTGTGATTGCAGATTTACTGGTTCCTGGGCACGCTCACGCTGACCACAGCAGGCGCCTTCCTCTTCTCGCTCATGTTCGAGATGCCGTTTGTGGGCATCTCCAAGTTGTTGTTGAGTAAGTCTGAAGGGAATACAGTATCTTGCATCAATCAACCAGCAGTGCAATATAAATATAGATTTGACAGATAGAAACGCGCCACCCCTTTTTTCTCTGTCCGACTCTCACAAATCAGAAAAACCAGTTCAAAGCACCATGCAAATCATGTATATTGTACTTGGCATCTGCCAACCCTATTTTAACACAGGATGCACTGTAAAAAAAAAAGTGTTGTGTCCAAAAAAAATAATAATTTTTTTTTCTCGTGACATCTACGTTCATGAGAATGAATTTGAAGCATGATTTAAGATTCTAGACCTATACGGAGTACTGAAGTCCGACGTTTATTTTAACTATAATAAGGCGAATGTGAAAGAAAGCATTTGGCAAATACAGTACAGTATTCATAAATACTAGTTTCGCGCAATCCGTTCGTGTGATTTTCAGGAAATAATTGAATGTTTTTGTTTTACCAGGTCCAGCTCGTGGTTCTAGGACGACAAAGAAGCCTTCCTCACCAGCAGCCGCCGTCACGTCTCCCGTCGAATCAAAGAATGACGGGCAAGTGAACCCCGGCTTCGAAGCAGGACCCGAGGGAGAGAAACACGTGGAAACGACCATCATCGAGGTGCCCAAGAAAGCTGCGGTGCTTTCGGCCTGAATCAAACTCCGACTCATCCAACTGTTTCACCATTTATTTTTCGCACGAGCTATCGGACAATTGAAATGCCACGAATCGAAGCATAAGAACGAATCATCAGCGCCCAGGATTAATGATGAACAAAAATAATAATTCAATAACGCGACGACTGCAATTTCTTTTCTCTTCGACCGGTCGATCCACAAATCCTTTCGGCATTCCACATCTCGGGTCCACATCAACATGAACAACCATCACCTTTGCGGTCGCAGCAAAAATGTCCCGTGACTAGCAGCGCTTTGATTCCACAATGTGCAAGCACGTACAGTACAGTGAAGCAGTTTCCCTTCCATTCTCGGCAAAGGAAAGACGGAATAAAATTGGTACGTGCATAACACGTTTAGAGTGAACGCGTGGATCCACCCGTATGAGCGGAGGTCATCTTCGTTGCCGCTTGCCTCAGAAAGACAGCTTGTGGTAAACACACGATTCCATCACTTCCTTCCTTCGTTTTCACATGTGCACACAACATTCAGGTAGCAGAAGCATGTGACAGTAAAGGTTGATTTTCAAAAATATCGATAAGGCAAATTAAATCGGCTCCTGATTCAAACGGACGAAACGAGCACGTTTCATGAATGGGCCGAGATAAGAATCCCCAGCCGTAAGCTTATGCGAGAACGACACGCAAAATCAACGATCCAAAATCATTCCTCATTCCACAGTAAATTAAAAAAAGATGCCTCGCCTTCGCATCCGAATACAATCGAACCGAGGGCTTTCTTGTCGGTAACCGCGATCAACACGGAGGGCAGAATAACCTCCAGCACATCAGTACCATCAAATCAATTCATCAACTAATTCCAATGCCTACCAGCTCAACGACTGGTCCGATTGAATACGGTTAAAACACAGTCGATCAAAATACGGTACTGTACTTTGAAAAACCAAAAAAATGACGCGATTAGGAAAATGGGAGATACAGTATATAGAATGAAAATAACAGCGAACGGGGATCAATAAATATTTCAAGGTTTCATGCAGTCATGCATGTTTGCTGGCGCTATATGCTCGACATACCGTAGTATCGTACTGCACAGAAAACCTCAACTTTAAAAAGCAAGACAAATCAAACGAGTAGTCTGTAGTATAGGTAAGTTCTTCCATTAACAACCGAAGAAGGATTCCTGCATCGGAAATTCATCATTACTACAGAAGACGTACTTCTTTTTCATACCAACACTGAGACTCATTCACACGCCCAGTGTCTTCAACAATTGCCGCAATGTAGATTCAGATTCAAAGCGCAATCATAAGTATCGTAAGCACACGTGGAGGAATCATTCAATCGCGCTCAATTTTCCGCCGACTGCGCTGGAAATCTTCCTTGCTCCCGATCAATCGATCAGCAAATGGATACGCTATGTTCGTGGCTCATGGGGATGGGAAAATTGCTCAGAAATGACAAAAAGAGTCGGAGAAAACAAGGAGGGAGTTCTATCGGTGATGGCCAGTTTGAGGTGTTATAGCCCATTGTTCGGAAAGGAATAACAAAAAGCCGAGACAGAGGGAGAGTGGAATTTAGTCCCTGGGAAGATCCACGTGCGCTAGCATGGGCGACATCTGCGAGGCAAGCTCCGAATTAGCAGCGCACAGGACTCGGCGCGACAAAAGGTCAAAATCAGCGCCCGTCGTGTCGCACACGTAGCCGCCAGCTTCCCTCACAATCAGCACGCCGGCCGCCATGTCCCACGAGTGCAGGCCGTACTCGTAGTATGCATCCGCGCCTCCCTGGGCCACCATGCACATGTCGAGCGCCGCCGAGCCTAGGGAACGGAACCCGTGGATCCTGGGATGTAGCGCGGCGAAGTTGGATGCGACACAACGAAGCTTAGCCGGATCTCGACTCGTGCCCACCTCGAACATGACCAGGGCCTGCGACAGCTCCTTAGTTCCCGACACGTGGATCGGATCACCGTTGAGGAACGCACCGCCGCCACGCCGTGCGGAATACAGCTTGTTCTCCGTCGGGTTGTACACGAGTCCCACCTCAGCCGTCTTGTTGGCCCACAGCGCGAGTGAAATGGCTGAGCAGGGAAACGAGTGCACGAAGTTCATCGTGCCGTCGATTGGGTCCACGATCCACGTCGGCGCGTCAGTCAGCTCCTGGTGCTTGCCTTCGACTGCACTCTCCTCACCAATCAGCACGTGGTCCGGATACCTGTCGTCGCAGCAACAAATAAATGACAGGAGTACTTCTCGTCATGTTCGTTCATTCCATCAATCAATCCAATTCACCTCTTGGCGATGGCGTCCATTAGCAGCTTCTCCACCCGGCCATCCGTTTCCGTGACAAAGTCGATCGCACTGCTCTTAGTCTCGTAGAGCTTTTCGCGCACTCGCGACGCCGCAACGATCTCTGCCCCGACGCGCTTCACCAGATCACAGCTGAATTTGTAAATTTCGTCGTAATCTCCTACAGACATTTTCTTCGAGCCCGTTTCCAACACTGAATCCAAATCACGCAGGCAAAAAAAAAAGGAGAGGCAGCATCAACAAGTGGGGCAAAAGGGAAAAAACCGTCATCAATCCGTCGGATTTTTGTTAATCAGGAAATATCCACAAGCTGAGCCAAATCAAGAACGGTAAGACAGCACGTGCATCCTTTTTATTTCATGAATTTTTCTCTTCACCTTGCGTTATGTTCGACGACGACGCCATCATCACACGGGATCACAGCGCAGGATCACAGGTGCGAAGGACGCGCAATAAACGGAACTGGCTAAATTTTGACAAGTCTCGGTTTCATCTGGGATGGAAAAAAGACGCAGTTCGGGAAAACTATACTGTACAGTACACATGCGACCAGCATGCGGTCCTGTTACAAAACGAGTGCAGGGGAATAAATCAAACGTCACAGGCGGCTCGATGGGCGGCCGGCGGGACGAGGCTGACGATCCCGAATTGCCCCAGACGATCAAGCCTGTCCTCCAGGAACGTGCCGAAGTCCATGCCACGACTGGCCTCGTAGTCGGGCCGCACCACGGGATCCACGTCTCTCAGCACCTTCACCTGCTCGCCCACCAGCTTTAGTTCGGCCTTGGCGAATGCCTCAAACACCGACTCAAAATACTCGCCGTTGTGCACGGACACTACTTGGCGGAGTTCGTCCACAAGGTGGCTTTCGAGCGAGCAGAAGTCGGCCTCCTGCGCAGCGAGCTGCTTCTTGAGCGTCGGGATCCGCCACGCATTAGTGTTGGTGAATCTCTCGCGCTCGTACTTGGCCAGTTTGTCCTCGGTGCGTAAGATGTCGGCAATCAATGCGTCCCGGGCACGCAGCTGTTTGTTCACAAAAGGTACGACTTGGAGATATTTCCGGGCAGGAACAAACACTGCTTCCACAAGCAGCCGGCTCATGTCACCGGCCTCTCGCGCTTCCTACGCACAATTTAACACACCCTCAATAACTTCAGCAGGTATTTCTTTTAATGTAATACGCAAATTCAGATGGGGAAGTAACGTCCTTTCACAGTAACAAGGAAACTAACAAGTACAGTAAAATCAAGTTACGACAAATTTTTCAGCATAAGAAAAACCAACTTTTCCCAAGTCCCAGCAGAGTAGCACATAGCGTACATGTTAAAGTAATCTCAAAGAGTCATCACAACATACTTTCCAATTCTAGTATAACAAAGTTTCTTGAGAAACATGTTCTGATTTTCACAATGACAAATCCTCCAAATGAAGACAGGCACAGTCTCAAATTTACCATTTAAAACGTGTGAGTGACTTGCACATTGGGGCATACGTGGAAGGTGAAATCAAGAACAAGAATTTTTTTTAATTTGCCGGAACATCCTCTCTTTTCAAGATTTTTCCTGAGTTAGAAAGAGGGTTGGGAGATTACATGAATTAAATGAACCCAGAGAAACTCATGTTAAACAGGGCGCAGGACTGGTTCAGATTTTGGATGCTTGAGAAACCATACTGACGCTCAATCGTAAGCTTTTTGGTTACATTGTAACATTCACCATTACAAATCTGTGCAGGAATTATTAAGAAAATCTTGAAAATTACCATAAGTGATTGTGTTTACCTGTTGTTGAGAGTACATGTTTGTCCTTGACATTTGCATTTTTTGAGGCAACAAGTTTTTCAAACATGTAAGAACATATGAAAAGGCCAAAACAGGAATATCTTGGAAGCAGTAAAATCTTGTTGCAACAAATTTCTCAGTACAACAAACTTTTTCTCAAATCCTGGCAGAAATCCTTTGGCGTACATGTTGAAAAATTCTCCAGAACAATAAACTTCTTCACTAAACAAAGGATTTTCCTCGTAAAATCTTCACAACTATATAAGGTGAGCACAGTCTCATATTTTCTTTCCTATGACTGGGTTTTGAGCTTGAATGGAAGTACCAAGGAACAGATTGCATCCAAGTTTATCCAAACATTTTTCCAGGATGTATAGGTTTCTGGGTTGGGGGACAAAAAATGTATCTGGAACCAACATAATTTGTGGCACTTGGGGTTCTAGAAATCTCGCTGAGGTTGATGAACTTCGCTTTTATTCTACATCCACCCTAAATCGGGCATATGGTGCTTTGCTTTAGACCACAGAAACTCACACTTGAAAAAAAGGGCATGTTTGAATCTTAAAATTTTTTTTCAACACATGTACCATGGAACTTCAATGCTCAATGAGTGTCAGCTGCATGGATTTGGTTGAACACAATTTCGAGAGTTTTACAACTGGATTTATGCTTTATTATTTTTTCTTAGCGACTTATTCACCAGTAAATGTGAATAGAAATCCATCCATGAGTATGAACACAAAAATGCATGAAACCTTCGACTGACATGGTAAACAATTTCATAGTAAGCACTTTTAAGCTCTTTTATTCAATTTCAATTCTATTTTCCCTCTTGTATTTACAGCCTACAGAATGGATATAAAAAAAAACTTAGGAGAAAATGCCTTGAATTCACTGTTGATAAGCTCAACATTTTGCTTGCCTCGCACATGAGAAAAAATCTCAATATACTCAACAAAACAATGCATTCCAATTTTACTGAGTTAGTCCAACATCAGTTAATAACTTGAAGACAGAAAATCAAGGGAGGGCATATATGCAAGTACAGTACAACTCGATAAGTTTTTTCCAGCAATTCATTTTTAAAATCTTGTCAAAACAAATTATTCAGCATAATCTGTTTTTTCTGAATTCTCTGCGAGTTTGTTGTAACGGGATTGTACTGCATTGGATTGCACGAAAATAACAGTTTAAAATACATTCACATAGCACAAATTCGTCTCTTTGCACCCAAAAATACTTTCCAAGGACAGACTAAACGGGAAGCGAACACAAAGGAAACAGAGCGAGGGGGAGAGACCCACAGTTGCAATAACAGTCTCCATCACGCTCATGATCTTGAGTGGCACGTTGACGCCTTCCACGCCAGCCAACGCTTCAACAACTTCTGCGGCGACTTCGGACTCCAACAACGACACGTTCGGAACGACCTTGCTCAAGTTCTTGGCGTTGTCGGCCACTTGTTTCGCCATTGCCAGCACACTGTGGACACACCCCGTTTACCACATTGGCATTCTTTTTTCTTGGAAACTGAGTCCTGAACGCATTGCATACTCACAATCGCAGTTGATCCAGAAGCATTTTCAACTCGCTATCGGTGTTCGCCGTCTTCAGCCGTTCTGGTGGCGTTGACAGTTCAGTCACGAGAACAGGATCTTTTCGGAGAGACCTGAAAGCAAGACGAAAAAAACTTCTTGCACAAGCATTGGATATCATTCCAGATGCGCCAGAGGTTTACCTGAACATTCTGTGACTGGAAATTTTCACTCCTACAAATTAAAGTAAACTTCCCCACATAACTTTCCATGAAGCCAACAACACACTTGCAAGTTATTTTCGCATCTGATCACGAAAAGTAAAGAAAAGAAGAAGGAAAATTATAGGTTTTCCATCGAGAATACAAAAATTGTTTCTTTTGTGTCATGCCTTTGGATGTCCCAGTACACTACATAGATGCTGCCCACATTTTATCAGGTTTGGTTGCCTTATTCTCTTCTTTGTAAAATTTAGTTTGACTAGGTTCGAGACCGAGTCGACCCCTGCCTCAAGTTCAAAAATGCGAAAAGCAGGAGGGTAAAAAAAATTATAATACTGTACTTTACATTGAAAATGAAATGAAGAAAATTCTTTCATTGAACTACGAAGTGTATAGGACTAGCCGTATGGAGGAGAAAACCAAAGCAAAGCAAAGCAACAATGACGTTATTCGGTTGCAGCTTCGGGCTGCGGTGGTTCGCGGCAGATGATGGCGATCCTGCGATCCCTCGGCACGTACTCGTCCCCGAGCCGTGACTCAGTCTCTTTGAGAATCTCATGCGTGAATTCGTAGCGCGAAACGCCCTGCATGACGTACAGGCTGCGCTGGGGCAACAGGAAGTCGACGACGAGTTCGGGACGCAGCTCGTGGCGGAAGCGCATGACGGACGCGGATAAACAGCAGAGTCCGGCGACGGTCTCGCCGCAGAACCGCACGCTGTCCACGTGCGGCTGTATGAAGCCGTCACGACGCAACTCGAGCACGTGCACGGAGTTCACCACTCGGCTCTTGCTCCCTAAGAACGCCGTCTTTCGCACCTTGTCAATCACAGCGAGATTTGCTTTGTTTCTCCATTCGGGCCACTCGGTTTCTTTGAACGCATGGATAACGGCGTCCCAGTGCTCCGTCTCGTACACCATCCGCTTCAGCCGCGGCGAAACCTCCTCCACCAGTGCCGCCTCTTCAGCAGTCGTCAGGAAGTCCGCGTGCACAGTCATGGACTGCAACACAGCCGTCTTCATTGCCACATCTGAAAACGACGCATGGAAGTATACGCCCTTCACGTCCGTCTTCGCGCCATTCAACACGACCGCCGTACCTGCTTCCGCCGCAGTCTTACAAAACTGCCGCAAACTTTGCAAACCGAATTTCATCTGTAAGTTCACTCGATTTTTATTCGGATCAACTCTTCATCAATACGTAAATACACACAACGTTACTCAATTTCACTCAGATCCTGTATTGCACACAACCCCGTTTGCCACCAGACACGCAAAAAAAAAAAAAAAAAAAGATTCTTGCCCACGCTTCTCCTGTTCAATCCTTGACCAGAACATACGCGGATGTGTGTCTCCTTTTGTCCCACTCTATTACTTAGCAAAAATAGCCCTGTAAAAGAACACACCACCGGCAAAACGAGTAACGTCTCTCGATTCGAACACAACCTCTCACAAAAAGAAAAACAGGAATTTGAAAATGCGTATTGCACAAAAAAAAACTCTAATCCTGCACAAGTAGCTGTCTCTTCAACAAAGAACGCAAAAGCCATGATTAAACTTCACAAAAGCAATGGACCGGGTTGCTGTCTCACGTCGCTGTTGTAACTGCTGTCCCAATAATTCATCTGAGGTCCAAGATCATCTTAGCTGGATTTTCAAGATAGGAGCGCCAGAGATTCGAAAAGCGGGCCATTGTGGCTCCGTCAATCACTCTGTGATCTGCGGACCAGGACACGTGCAGGATGTGCGCTTTCTCTAAGACACCTGACTCAGGATTGAATCTCGGAAGTACCTGCAAACCCAGAACAAGAATGTCACGTTTTAAAGGGTGTCCGGACATGAAAATAATAATTCAATCATAGTGATACACACCTGGATTCGTCCAATGGCTCCAATGGCGACTTCGGGTGGCATGATGACCGGTTTTGCGTACGTGCCTCCAATCTGCAATGAAATGAAGTATTGGTTCTTCTCACTGAAACATAATCGGTGGACTCAAGAGCAAAAGACGAAAAATAAAGAGGAAGAAAATTGATGGACCCACTGATCCAATATTGGACAAGGTGAATGTGCCACCGGTGATGTCCTTGGTGCCTAGGGAACCTTTGGCCCCCAAGGCCTGAAGACGACTCAACTCGACGGCGATGTCGAGCACGGACAAGCCCTGCACGTTCTTCACATTCGGCACGACGAGGCCGACCGGTGTGTCCATGGCGATGCCGATGTTGTGCGCCGCCTTGTATGTGATCCTCTCACACTCGTCATCCACGCTCGCATTCAATACGGGGAACTCGTTCAACGCCAACGAAGCGGCCTTCACCATAAACGGCATGTACGAGAACTTGATCCCACGCTCGTCGGCTGTCGTCTTGAGTCGCTTCCGCAACAATACTAGTTCTGTCATGTCCACTTCGTCGCAATAGCCGAAATGAGGAATTTTCTACAACACATAAATTGAATGAACACATCAAATAAATAATCAAAAAATTGAACTAACGTTGAAAATTTTTAAAAATCAAGTACATGCTAGTACCATGTGTTGGGGAACCAGAACTCAGGCACAGGGACGTCAGGTCCTGAGACCTGAAATCTGGTCCTATTTCCCTTTGTGTATCTCTTCCCCGGATGCACAACTTCTTTAATGCACATTTCTCCCACCAATCACAGGTGGGGAAAAAGTTGCATGCTTTGGTCAGCTGACCTGACCAAAGCATGCAGCTGAAATTGTATAAAATCCCAGCACTTATCCACTACCAATGATCAGTCCTTTAATTTAACTCTGACTGAAAACTTCCCTCAAACAATTAACCCCCTATTCTTTTGATTGAATTATTGCATTGTATTACTGCACCCTACATTTTTATGCACAGATTTATTTTATTCACTGAAAATGTAATGCATTATTGTATTTATTGTGATGCATTATTTTTGTACTGTGTTTCATTGTGATTTATTATGGACTGAATTAAACCAGACAAAACTAGGGATATTCAATTAAGCTACCCCCTAATTACATATTCCCAGCAGCTAACCAGCTGATTGCCCTGCCGTATTATTTCTTACAATTTCTTCCACCGCAATATGGTTCAATTCTTTGTTGGGTCAATTTATTCCCGAACATAAAAATGGTAGCAGAGCAAGGTTCATGCACTGACATGATTTAGATCCACAAAATCAAAATGGGCAATCAGATGATGATACATCACACACAGCAATTAAAATCATATTCCCATGCCCCTGAACACATTACAGAGGCATATTTGGTCCATTTCACTGATTGTTTGCATAACAATGAACCAAACCAAGAATCTTTTGATTAAGACCAATTATGAAACTCATGTGCTATGATTATGTTCAGCACCATACCAAATTGGTGCAGCACAGCTAATACTGGCACAGAAATTCAAGGCAGAGTTGCACAAACCCCCTTCAACAAGTTCTCAGCTCAAAAGTTCAATATTCTCAATAAAGAGACTTCTGAAAAATATGCTGAAACCGGTTGATAATTATATATCAACCACTTGAAGATATGGCCATCAATGTGCAAACATGATATGTGTTTCATCAGAAACATCCACTGCCTTCACAATGCTGGGCCCTTGCAAGACATGTCTATTGAAAACATTGTATACAAACTTTACGAAGTATGAACTTGTCGAACATCATCAAAATCAAGCAGTATCTTCTGAATTCACTTGCATTATAAAACACTTGACCAACATTCAATATGGAAAGAAATATCAAACAATGCCAACCATCAGTGGCTAAAGAAATAGCTTCCTGCTAAACAGTGCATGCTCCTTCTGAAACTAACATGTCAAACGAAATTGCATGACCAAAAGTCCCTGAAGTACACTCCAAAATCCAAATATCTGAGCACATGAAGAAATCCAGGAAAAATCAAACACAGGTCAAGCTTCATATCCCCTTTGGACAAGAGCAGCGCTCAGAAGACAGCAAACCAGAGGAATAAAAACCAAGGAAAGGAGCCAAAGCCAACCAAATTAACAAGAGAAAATTAAAAGAAGCAAAGGAAAAGAACTAGGAAACACCAAAAGGAGCTTCTTTAAAACTGTGGAACCAAAATTGTTGTTTGTTGAAAAATATCACTGAAGAATTTTGTTGTGATGCTGACACCATGATGTGAACTATTTTTATTATGCAACCACTGAATGGTGCTCAAAAACCCATTTAATTATTATTTGTTTACTGCAAAAAGCTGCAATATGAATTTGTTTCCCACTCTGTGCATGTATCCCACCTATCTGTAATATGATAGAGAAATTTTTTTGAGTGTCAATGCTGACTGTGGAAACAAATATCTGAAATATTTTAAAATTTGAGACAGATCACCTCTCTTTGTAAAACATGAAAAGCAGACTGATCACTTATCTTTGCTACGTCAGAAAATCAACATCAAAATTAAAAATCAAAGAAAAAACTTGGTACCTTCTCAGTAGAATTTTGCATGCACTCCACAAACCAACTTATAATTCAAATGCACTCTGAAAACATCCATTACGGATCCGCAGCCCTCCTCATTAAGAATTTCTTCATGTTCCATCAAAACCCATTTTTTTAAAAAAGGGGGTCTTGATGGATCACGTGGGATTTGTTGGGTACTGAGGCTACGCCTGTAAATAATTATAATACTGTAATAAAATTCCACTGAATCCCAAAACTGGTCCTTTGGTGGAAGCCCAGCACCAAAGAACAAGTCCCAAAGAAATCGTACAACAATGCACAGCATCGTCTTTGATTCCAACGAAATTGCCCAATCAGAGGCCACAATTTAGCCCACAAGGAAAACTACTTTCCTTCTCTTTCTTCAAAAAAATTTAGCAATGAAATCATTCCACTCACTGCCAACTCTCAAGCTGATTAGACCTAAAAACTATGCATTGAATACTATCAAAAACATTGTCTGAATTGATATTTGTGTTGTGTGAAAGCATTTGTGTGTGAGTTGCAAAGTTCTTTGAGTTAAATAATGATGTGTTGGGACATTAATATATCTCAATTTCTTGGAGCCTCCATAAAGAGACTCCCAGCCAGTCCAAGGCTGATTGTTGTGTTTTACTTTAAATTCTTACCACTTCTCTTTGTTAGGAACATTTAATCTCAGACATTCATGTTTTGTGACAGCTTTGGAATTTACTTGGAGAACTGACCCAGAAACGGAGATACACAGAGAAATCTCCAATGTTTCTTGTTCTGTTTGACAAAAGGATGCAGAAGTGAAAAAAAAAAATAGTTGTTGCGAGAGGACATTGAGCAACAACTCTAGCAAACATTCACGAAACGATTCTTGCTGCTGTCCAAAATCCCACCCAAATGATTCATTCCCTAGTAAGATTCAGCATTTCCAGAAGTCATGAATCAACCCTCAAAAATATAAGAGAATCATGAACTTGAGAGAAAGCGGGAACTTCGTCGGCGAAATTACCATTGCAGCTGTCATAGACCGAACCATGGCTTTCATGAAGCCTTTGATGGGCTCAGTTCTGTCACTTCCAATGGAAACTGAAGTAGGTTTTGCTACCGTCGGGGCAACGGACTTCTCCGTCGATTCCGCGGGAACAAAACGGAAATAGCGAGACGCGTCAGTGTCCATGGGATGAGTCGTCGATGGAGCACGTTCTAGCTTTCCGAGAAATCGCAGCACGTCTTCTTTGAGTACCCGGCCGTCTTTACCGGTTCCGAAAACGTCACTTAGCTTCACCTGAAACACGTTGTCAATTGGCGCGCAATTTTCTTGTGAGAGAACGTGTGGAACCGTCACTAGGGAAGCCACAACTTACATTATTCTCCATGCACATTCTTCTGACTGCAGGCGTGGCCAGTCCTTTGCTGCCTCTGGAAACGTCCACGGAAGAGTCCAATACGATGCCTGGCGTCGTCACACGAGCATCCACAATCCGTTCAACCGATAGGGATTCTTTAGTAGGTCAACAAAGGAGAAAACATCGGCGAGCGACACGGAATTAAATTCATTTTTACCACAAAATCCACATTTTTTTTTTCTTTTTAACCTGGAGCGTCTCCAGCTTCTTGCTCGATGTCCACCAATGGCTGGCCTACTAGGGCGACGTCGTCGACGGCATGGTACAGCTTCTTTATCACACCTTCGTATCGACTAGTTATGGTCACAGACGCCTTATCACTCTGGACTTCACAAATGCTGTCGAATTGATTCACCTTGTCCCCTTCTTTCACAAACCTTCGAAGAATAAGATTTTTAAAAATGCGAATCAGAAGACAACGTCGCAAATCAGCTCAGTTTCTCCACAAAGAACTGCAGAAAACCACGCAATTTCTTTCAATCAACTTCAAGACACTTTTTTCACGATATCAAAGTTTTTTCCCACACGTGCAGCCGTTAACCATTCATCATGCCACAATAGGATTTACGCTCTTTCATGTTTTTCAGGTTTTAAACAATTTCAGACAAGAAATTTTTTCAAATACAAATAAGTACCCTTCCAATTAATTGCCTTATACTATCTCAGGAATAATGCTGCATAAATACATGTCTATCACTACAAAATAAAATAATTCCTACGACAATCAATTTCTTCACAAATCATCAACGGTGCTCCCACACGGAATCCACTCACCATTCTTTGACCACAACTTCTCGGATTCCTTCGCCGATATCCGAGAGATTGAAGGGTACAACTTTGCTTTCCAAACGGTAACCCCAGTGGAGATGTCCATAGTGCTGCATTGCCACGGGTGCGCACCTGACGAGGAATCTAGGTATACGGTACGTCCTCTCACACTTAAACGAAAAGTCCCGACGACATACACACACCACATTTCGGAACGCGATCAGGAATCTGGCGGCGGTCATTTTTATCGCGACTTCCGCACCAACTTCGTAGCCGCAACAAACGATAGGAATGATTAATCAAGACGGGAAAGTACTGTACGACATTAAAAATGCCTCTCATCAACACAAAAGATTCAACGGATATAAATTCAACGACAGGCTTGAAAAAGCTTTGGGATTTTCTTTGGGGATCAACGCAAAGTGCTCCAAAGAAATCGCGATCAGACTTCGTTGAAAAATAATATTGACATGAAAACTTAAGCTACAATCAACAAATACCCTTTGGCGTGATGGTCTGCACAGGCAAACAATCACAACTGGAACAAGTAAAACGAGACTTCACCGCGAGGCGCGTCTAATCAGCGCAAGATCCCGTTTTCTATCCTTTCTTTTTTTCCATGCAACGCCTTCCGACAACATTCGGCAGAAACCTCGACCATTCGCTTTCAGCCATTATTAAAAAAATCTCAAAAACAAATGAGAACGATTGAATCTAGAGGAACACTCCACTTCATTGATGACGCAGGGGTGGCTTGGCGTCTGCTTTTGAATCTTCTGTGGGGGATTTAAAGAAACCTTCTCTGATGGCGCATTCCCGAATGGTGACAGTTGTGGAGCCTGAAGTGACGTCAGTGACCAGGATCTGATCCATGACAGGATTAAGACGTTGCCAGTAGTCGGACCCGTGCGTAATGACCTCTTCGCCGTTTGTCTTGTCTGACCGATGTCGGTGACGGTGATGACGTTCTGCAACAGGACTCACCACATCCGCGCTGGACAAAGGCGATAGTTTCGAGATCACAACGCCCACGTTGTTCGGTGAAGTGGAGATTTTCAGTGCAGGCGGAGACTCCTTCTTGTTCCCCATGGAAATGGTCACGCCGATTTTTCCATGTTCCTTAAGCACCTCAGCTTTACGAGGCTCCGCGTTGTCGTCGGAGTCGGCGTTTTCATCCGAATCCCCAGTTTCTTCACCATCCTCGTCAGCGTCCTTACCGCGCTTCCGCTTCTTCTTCCGTCGCTTCACTTTCTTCTTCTTCGCAGCCTTAGGTGGCTCTTCTGAAACCTCAAATTTGTTTTTTGTGGGTGCAGGGATGGGAGACATGGGTTGGCTTGGGTCGTCTTGATGAGCGGAGGGATTGTTGTCGTTCCCCTCTGTGTCATCTGCGTCCTCGTCGGCTTCTTCGCCTTCGTTTTCTTCTTCTAACTTGGCCTCATCCTCACTATCTTCGTCGTCTTCGTCCTCGTCTTTAGCGGGTCGCTTTCGCTTACTGGGTCTTTTCGTAGATGTTTCTTTTGAGCTCCGGTCTCGTAGCTGTAAAGTGGTGTCAAAGCTCGCACTAAATACACACGCGAGTTATCAGAAAAACAAACGATCTCACCGGTCGCTTGGGCTTTGGACCTCTCTTGGAAGAATTTTCGGTCAACCTGAATACAGGAAAAGGATTTTAAAACGTCAATCCCAACGAGAAAGTTTCCTTCGATATTACTCACTCTTCTTCAAAAGTTTCTATCAACCGCTCGTCCAGAATGTTCTCTTCCGGCTCCCACGTATTATGCCTAAAGTAACAAAAACGTCATCGATTCAATTTCTGGGATTGTTACGAAGCATATTCACTCACTTGGTAGACCATCCCTTCCATTTCACAAGGTACTCATTTTTCCCCTTGAAAAAATCAGGACAATCAGAAAAACACAAAAAGCGGCGAAGAAAACTTAAAACTGACCTTTCGAAGTCGTTTCTTCAAAATGCCTTCCGCCGCGAAAACGCTCTCTCCCACGGAGGAGAGCTCCATATGGCGCATCGAAACTCACTTAAAATTCACGATAGAAACTTCACACACTCCACTGATGTTCCGTTCATAATCACAACCGATCAGCAAACACTCAGTAGGGCACCGCTTCCGCTGAATCAATTCCGTACCTTCAATCAACCCATTGACGAGCTCTGACCGCGGTGGCCTGGGAGAGACAAGTCTGAGCGAGTAAAAGTTGTTTTGAAAGGGGGTGGCACAGGCTGAAATCCTTGAGCTCAGCTCGACTTTCGTGCTGCAGTTACGTCTCTTGTGCCTGATCCTATGTTAACACTCCACCTCGTCTGGAAACTAAAAATATCCTGCTTAGGGACTTCAGTCAGCCCACCTGAAACCTCACAATCATTTCCAGATGAAACAACCAGAGGAACCAGACAATGTTGTGGGTGACTCTGAATGTACGACCGCAGGTGTCCTCTAAGTCTAACCGTCGAAGTTGTACATCACACGAGCGGTAAAACATGACGGTGTAGACTTCAGTTACTTCTTCACAGCATACTGTACAAGGCCTCCTATGATGAAATTATATGTACGCAAAATAAAGTTTTTTCTAAAGTAAACGGCGCTTCAAAAATCACAGTGAAATTATGTCCTTCTGCATTCTGTGGAAGGAACCACCGTGAAAGTGCCCAATGCGGAATAGCGGAGAAGCCTCTGCGGAATTGCACTCCGCGGATGTGGACCGCTCCTCTGTCATGGGGAGTATGCTTTGCCTCCTACACCCATGCCCCGTGAGGAGAACGTGAGGTCTCCGGGAGATGAGACGCTCGAGTCCCTGCGCCACGAATACGGTGTATTTGTACAGCAGCTTAATACTATCTGATAATATAATTTTGTATGGGCGTTTGATAATGTTGAATTCAAATGCACCGTTAACGTTATAATTGGTGGATTGTTCGAGTTCGTGTTTGCTGCATTGTTGTACAAGTGCCGGAGTCTGAATTTCCTGATGAGCACTTCGAGTCACCCAAGACATTGTCTCGTGGTTCCTCTCGATCCAAAGAATCGGAATGCAAATCTTTGTCAGGAGGCCAATTGCCATGGGATCAATTTTGCAATTGGGTTCACTGTGTTTGTGTCGTGACTTTTGATCTTGAATTGGGCCAAGCCATGGAGGTGAATATTGGCTAGATTAGTCTGTGAAAATCGGCGTGTAAGCCTTCTCATCCTCTATTTAGTTCATGTACCCGGCTCACGTTACCTTGAACAAAGAAGAAAAAATAAACGTGTGTTAGTTGGCTTTCCCGGACTCTTAATTCTGGACACATGGGTGACACCATGTACCATTTTCGAATCCAGAATTGGAATGCAAACTTTCAAGTTTTCTGACAGGTGCTAACATGTAGACATCCCCAGTGTTTCCAAAAGGTCATTGTTATAGACTTATAGAACTGTCTTAACGTGAAGCTTTTGTATTAGAAAAATGCAAACTTAGATCATTATTAATGCAAACATGTGACATTCATGCTAGTTTTGAATTTTAGTGTTCACATGAGCTGTGCTTCTTTTTAAAATCTCCACAAAATCTTGGTGCTATTGAGCTTTAGGGATGTCAGCTATACACTCTGTGACTTGGCATGCGCGCGGCCATTTTTTACTCCTGGTGCCCTCTATGTTTCATTTGGTTTCCTACAGTTCCCAATCCATGGCAAAGAGTGACTTCAAAGCGGCGGCTTGTGGCGCTAAAGCTGAATATGACAAAATCATGTGACAAAATGAAATGAATAACACACAAATGCTGATTACATTTTTTAATTGCAATGGTTTTCTTCGTAATTCTGACAAATTGTTCCCAGGCTATAGCCAACACCGTACAGAAGCCACACTGCATGGGTAAGATGTCAATCATATCCATTTTTTGATAATTGAGGTACAGTACATTATTGGGTACAATCCACCATACCAAAAAGTGGGGGTCAATATTTTTATGACTGGAAATTTGGTAGGTTTGGAATACATTAATATGATTTCCTTTGAAATTCTCCCAGAAGTTAATAATCTATTCACTTTGACCTATCTTTTGTTTAGAAATAGGTGCTGTATCTTGACTTAAATAAATGGAAGCACTCATCTGTCTTAGAAGAAGTACCAAATGAAAGTTTCTGTAGTCACTTGTCAGTGAAAGAGAAAGCAGAAAAAAATTTTGTGAATAAATTTCTTGTAGTGAAATGAGAAATTTTGACACAAGACAAGATTGCCAGAATTGCATCCATAAGGTGTTGGGTGTTGGCTATAGCCTGGGAACAATTTGTCAGAATTACAAAGAAAACCATTGCAATTAAAAAATGTAACCAGCATTTGTGCATTATTCATTTCATTTTGTCACATCATTTTGTCATATTGAGCTTTAGCGCTACAAGCCGCCTCTTTGAAGTCACTGTTTGCCATGGATTGGGAACTGTAGGAAACCAAATGAAACATAGAGGACACCAGGAGTAAAAAATGGCCGCGCGCATGCCAAGTCACAGAGCGTATAGATGACATCACTAAAGGTCAATAGTGCCAAAATCTTCAAGTTCAAGCATAAATGTTCATAATACGTACCCGTTTTTATGCCTTTACAAGAAGTTATGTGTGGCACAAAGTGGATTGGCCCCTAATCAGATTTTCCCTCAAGTTCATATTGGAGAGACATGTGTTCCACATGGATAAGCAGTACTATGCTAGGGTGGCACTAAATCAAGGGTTGACTGTATTTTAAATTGTATGTTTTTGAGCATGTGACAAATGTAAAAGCTGCGTCCTATTGCGAAGTGTTGCTTTGACAGATAATTTCAATACAGTACTGTTATCAACCAAAGTAGAAGGACATGCTTCATGGCCTGGCTATAGCTCATTTAGTAAGGTTTAGGTGAACACTAGGTCACGTAAACACAGAAGTCCTCACACTGATCAGCAAGAACTTGGAACAAATCACACTGTATGAATGTAATGCCGGTTTATTTGCAGGTTGCAATACATTGCTCTCAAACACAGTTTAAACAGAGTTCCGTACCAATCAGGAGTTCAAGATCCAATGAGGCTGGGAATGCCTCCAGGCTTATCATACAACATGGCTGCTGGCAGTGCGTGCGGGCCGTTGTGCCAGGCGTGCCGTGATTGGGCATTACGTGAAAACAATTCCCTATCAAATACGCAAGGTCCTATTTGTACAGGCTAGTATGGCTGTCTGGCTGTTACTCTCCACCCCCCCCCCAGAAAAAGAAAGATGCCAGTGGTGGTGAAAAAAATCAGGGGGCAGAGGCCACTGATGGCAGTAGCGCGCTGGGCAACAGCGCCATTGTTTTGGGCAATGCCAATGATCAGTGTTGGCAATGCTCCAGTTAGAGATGTTGTCAACATTCCTCATTGGTGAGTGGTCCCTGCTCATGGAGGGGCGCTGCAAGGGTGATACACTGGGGCTTGACATCCGTGTCCTCTTCTGCAGAAGATGACAAGGAGGAGGAGGATGGTGAGATGGCAAACCATTGCCTCTTTTGGCTGCCATGATGTTGGGGTTTGGTGTCAGCAACGGAGGTGGTGCTGGGCTCTCAGGTAACAGAATGTCCTTGCTGGAGATGGGGGACATGTGTGTTGGTCCAGGGCTGCATTGATGCTGGCTGGTGCTGGCCATGTGCGCATGATGAAGAGCTTGCAGGGTGAGCTGGTGTGTTGTGGGCTGCATTGTTGTGGCTCTTGTGGCTGCCGCTGGTGGTCTTGTGCCTGTTGGTGCTCAGGGAGTTGGCTTGGAGGACTTGTCTGGAGCAGTGAGCTGGCTTGTCATCTTTGTCTTCTGTCTTGTGAGTAAGGTGCAGGCAAGGGCGATTGTCATTGTCCTGTTGGGAGGAAGAGTTTAGATTAGGTGCCGGTTTGAAAGTTGTTTGGGCAAATTGCTGGGGGCGTGGTAGGGAAGGAGTAATTTTGTAGCTCCAACGCATTGGCCAGCTGTGGTCTGTCAGGTGTGGCAATGATGTATGTGCGTTTCCCCTGGTAGCGCATGATGAGGAAGGGTCCCTAACTCTTGGGGAGGAAGCAGCGGTTTGCTACGTTTTTTTCTGTTGTCTTTAGCCATGGTTGCAGCGCTACCATTTGGCTGTCCTTAAACAGCGGCAGTTTGTGTCGGTTGGCCTGTCAGATGTATTGGTCTCAGTTCTGTTGCGCCATTTGCTGTACTATTCTTGGTCTCAGTGCTGCTGCTTGGACCTGGTGGGAATTATTGCGCTGGGGCGCATTGAATTTTATGTTGGTGGGTGTGGGCATTGGCTGTTTGTGCCATAGCTCAAGAGGGGACAGGCCAGTGGTCAAGTGTGGCATATGGTTGTAAGCCATTATTACTTCATATAGCACCTCATCCCATGTTGTTGGGCTGGTAGCTGTTTTTGCATGGATGGCCATGAGGGGCTTGATGGCCTGTTTGCACATGCCATTGCCCTCTGGGTGGTATGGCTGGGCTATATGGATGTCCATCTGGTTGGCTGTGATGAACTGTTTGAATACTGTTGACAAGAAGACCGCTGCTCCATCTGAGTGTATTATCTCAAATGATCCCAAATGCATGAAGATGTCAGTAATGAAACTGCACAGCGCATTTGCAGTTGCGCGCTTGACTGGTTGTGCAATTACTGGTTTGGTGTAGTAGTCAACCATTACCAGTGCGTATTCGTTGCCTGTTTGAGAGGGCGGGAACAGTCCCCAGAAATCCACCCACAGGCAGTTGTGTTTGTCCATCAATGGTATTGCTTCTAGGTGCATTCCAACAGTTGCTGTTGCTGAGTTGAAAGTGAAGCACTTTTTGCATTCAGCCACTTGTTTGAAGATCTGCAATTGCATCTCTGGCCAGGTGTAGCGCTGGCAGAGTTGGTGGAACGTTTGTTTCCAGCTGGTGTGCCCCATTTTGATATGGTATTTGTTGATGATGGGCTGTTGCTTGGCCTAATCCAGTATCTCCTTGAGTTGGATAGTTTTCAGGCAGATGCGGCTTAGGACATCTGGCCCTGTGAGCATTTTGCCTGGCCTGTGTACAAGTGTGTACTCAAATGGCTCCAATTTCAGCTGGAGGCTGATTAGGGGCATATCGGACAGTTTGCCAAGTAGCGCTTTGTGGTCAGTCACCAGCTTGAAGTGTTGGTGTTTGACGTAGTGGCGGAACTTTTTTGTTGTTGCCCATAAGGCTGCTAGCTGCTCTTGCTGCATATTGGAGTACTGCATTTTGGCCGGTGTCAACACCCTGCTTGCCTATTCCATGATGTGGGGTTGTCCCTCTGGGTCAATTTGAACTAGGATGGCCCCAATGGCTGATGAGGATGCATCACAATTAATTCTGGTTTCCCAGGATGGGTCAAACTGTTCAAGCCGGGCAGCATTGGC